ACTTTTTTGTTTCCCTTGCTTTCAGGTGACCTTAAGCAAGTCATAATCGTGTTTCAGCTTGGTGGTGATAGGCCCTAACAGAGAAGTTCCCAAACTTTCTCTGTTCACAGAGAATTTAGTGTCTCAGCCTTTTTTTCTCAGGGCACCTAGGCCAGAAGAAATGCCCACCAGTTCCATTTATTAAGTGGTTAGGTCCTAACAACTTAGTAAGTATTGATGTCCTACCAACTAGGAGCTATTTGAAAAAAAATATTAACAGTGAATAAGAAGAGAAAGGGAAATTTGTATCCCATCCTTAAATAGCCACAATGAATTACAAATAGGATGTATGCACCTGTTGGGCACGGCACAACTTCTCAAACCTCAGAATCAGGGCAGACACTGCCGCTCTCATTTTCTGTTCCACACTGATCTTTCCCTGGCACTTGCTTTCATCACAGCAGCAACCAAAAACTCAGCTTTGTAAGATATAGCATCATAAAAAAGAAAAAGAAGAAGATAGTGCAATCTACCTCGAACCAATGGTGGGAACACTTTGAGCTGGCAGTTGTAAGGTCCAACAGAGATTGAGTATTGCTTTATTCCTCTTCAAAGCATCAACATGTGCTAGCTTATCCCAGGGGACCTGGGTGCAGTCTGGGAACCATGTCCCTCGTGTCTGTGAAATTTTGTCATGATCTGTCTTGCAACTTCACTGAAGAATATCTGAGGACAAGGGCCATATATATCCCACAACATCAACATAGTTTCTTATTCAGTAATAAATGCTTCATAAATACTGTCTTTCGTCGAGTCGATGATGTCGTAGACTGGAAGATGCCTACTGATGTCTAGAGATAGTAAAATGTAAAGAAAAAAGAGCATAAAGTCACTGATATACAGTAGTTATTTGAATAGGTTGGGGTGAGTTTATTGCCTGCATCTGAGTCAGTGCTGCCTGCAATGTAACGTTTACCCTGGTGAGATCTGTAAAATGTAGCTCATCAGTGTCCTTCTGGGCTTAAAACCCCGTCGTAGAGATAAATCCTAAAACAAAAGAGTCCGAATGTGCCCTCTTCACAGCACACACAAAACCAGTGTTTGTGGGTTTGTTTTTTTTTAATGTTTATTTATTTTTGAGGGGGGAGGGCAGGAAGAAGGGGAGACAGAGAATATCTAGCAGGCTCCACAGTCAGCTCAGAGCCCAACCTGGGGCTCAAACCCACACACCGTGAGATCATGACCTGAGCCGAAATCAAGAGTTGGACATTTAACCGACTGAGTCACCCGGGCGCCCTACAAAACCAGTTTTGTTCTTCTGACCTCTATGCTTTGGAGGGAAAGAGGAATGAGCAGACACTAATGCATTCTCCCCTCCGCCTTCCCTGCGCCCCCCCAACTGTTAACGTGCTGAAAATGCTCCCATTTACTTTGCAAATAACTATGAGACTTTATTACTTGGTTGTTCCTGGTTTCTCCGATATGAACGGGCAGATGTATTGCAGATGTAGATTATATCTTGTCTGGTTCCCAGTTCCTCTTCAGTACCCCAGGATACCCCAGGATTGGCCTGGAGGGTGGGGCCAGCTGAGCTGGGCCGCGCGCATCCTCCAGGGGGCGCCCACACGGTGCCTGTAACCACTGGAAAAGCTTCATCCAGTCATATTCTGTTTCAAACTTGTAAACAAACATAATGTACTGTAGTCCTTAGCTTTGCCTAATTAGAGAAAACATTGTTTTAGAGCAGAAGGTGAGTAAATGTAAACATTTAAGTATTAGTCTGATGGAAACAAATTTCACATTCTGATAGTTCTTTTCTCTTTAAACAAGCGGCCCTACACAGAGATGGAGAGATTCACACGAGGTAGATAAAAACCCGTTCGAGTTGTTAACTCCTCACTTCCCAAGACCGGATGGAGTCAGGGGAAAGGGTGGCCTGGGAACGAAGGAGCCCGGGGGTTGGAATGTCTCACGGCTCCAGGCAGAGTCCAGCATAGGCTGGGGGCAGAGGTGCTCTGTCAAAGTGGGTCTTCGCTGGAGTGGTCGGAGGACGCCGAGCCCTAAAGTCACCTGTTTTCCTTCTATGCTGCTGACTCCCAATTTTTAGGAGAACTTGTGACTCCACTCAGCTGACACTGGGGGAGTCCCTAAGTGGCTCTTTCCTGCACACTTAGTCATTCTCTGGCTACTTTTGCTTGAGAAAAATATGGTGGGGCTGAGGGATGAGCGGGTCCTGCCCTCGTGGTATCTGGGCTCTGTGCGTCCCTCTCACTGCGGCTGTGATGGTGACCATCTAGTGTGCATGGTATCCACAAGGCAAGTCCAGCCCGTGGTGGACTTTTCGGGTGGTTTCCTTGGCAACCAGACCTACTAATCCTCCTTCTCCCCCAACTTACTAGTAACTGCAAAAAGCACGTAACTGGTTTTGTGGACTCATCAATACCAATACATCTTTATGAACCTGTACGGGCTCTCGACTCTTCAGAATTCTTTTCCTAAAGGGACTAAAGCTTCTTTTCCAGAACCGTTCGAAAGTGCCTTTCTCGAACATCAGAATGACCTTCAGGATCACTTAGTCACCTTCCTGTTTTGCAGATAGGCCCACACCAGTGACACGCAGACTCACGTAGCTGGTTATGTAGTAGTGGGACCTCATCGGGGGCATCTTGCACCCAATCCTGGAGGCTTCCCACTCTACCAGGAGCCACGTCTGTTTTGAATACCACCACCGGCTGGCAAACTTGCCCTGGAGCTCTCTCCGAGGACGGGACAATCCTTTAGGAGTCCCCTGAGCTCTGGGACAGCGACAACCAACAGCAGATACTCCAGACATTTATGGGACCCTGGCCTCAGTTTCCTTAACGTACACTGATGGTTATAACCCTAGTATTGCAGTTGCTTGCTTCCTCCAAGAGAGGACACCTGAGTGGATTCGTGACGGTTAGCCGCCTAGGACAGTAGAAGCACAATGTGACGTTCTAAAAACAGCGATACTGTCTGATCCCGGTGCCTTCCTATGAAAGAGATAATATGCTAAGGCTACTTCTTTCTCTTTGCTTGTGCTTAACTTTGATGAATACCTACATCTCTTGGTGGCAAAACGACTCATGAAATAGGAGTGTACTGAGTACATATGAGCATGTAAAAAATAATGCATGTGAAGTATGTAATAAAATGCCTCAAGTTCACATCATTCACCTCGGGGAGAGGAGGATGTCGAGATGGGGGTTGGTTGCTGGGTCTGTCGTGTTTATATAAAACTCCTCAGTCATAACAGAGTAATCAGCTACTCTGGAAAACTGAACGCCGCTCATTCTTCCATCCAGAGTAAATAAACCCCAGCTTCATATCATTCCTATCAGCCGTGCATCCATTTAGCGCTGGATCCATTATATTTTCACCCACTCTCTTAGGCCTTTTCATTGTCACCGTGGCTGTTGGCAGACAGACCTAGCCCGCATTTGAGACGGCTGCCTCAACAGATAGATCTAATCCCGATTTATTTTTGACATTCTTTTTGCCTTCCCCAACAAAATGGCCACAGAGAATGATATCGTCCTTGGAGCAGGGAGCTTTGATTCATTAGTACATTTCCAGGAGATTTTCTGTGTCCTTCCCTCTTTTTTTTTTTGGTTCTTGTTTATCCTTAGTAATTTGCTTTTACTTTATCCTGGATTTTTTTCCATTTTTTGGTCACAGTACTCCCTCAACCAACAGGTTAAGCTCTATTACAATTCTCTGAATTCGCTTTGGAGAAGTATATCATTATCTTGGCTTCACACGAAAGATCGCTTCCTGAAATGACCGTGAATTTGAGACACATCTCTCGGTGCCTTGTACTGAAGTCCCCTCTTCTGGCTGATTCCTGGAGTTTCTCCCCCAAATCAGCCTGGACTCCTCATTTCAAGAGGCAGAAGCTTGGGCTGCACAATAACTTTTTAATTTGCTAGGTTTGGTTACTCTGCATTAGCACAGTTACTAAACTGTGCCTTTTGACATACTTCTGTCTTTAAGAATGTTATATTATCGGGGCCCCTGGGTGGCTTAGTCAGTTAAGCATCCGACTTCCGCTCGGGTCATGGTCTCGCAGTTCGTGGGTTCAGGCCCTTCGTAGGCTCTGTGCTGACAGCTCAGAGCCTGGAGCCTGCTTCGGAGTCTGTGTCTCCCTCTCTCTCTCTGCCCGTCCCTTGGTTCGCACTCGGTTTCTCTCTCTCTCAAAAATAAATGAACATTAAAAAAGAATGCTATATTATTGGAGAATTTGGAAAAACATTTCCATCAGAGACATGCACATCAGCTCTGAGTTGTCGGTCAAAGCTGTTATAGGCATTGCCGTATTAACTCATCCCAGGTATGCAAATAGGCAGAAGCACATCAGGGCATATAGGAACCATATTCGTTCTCTTGCAGCTGCTCCCACAAATTAGCCCCAGTTTAGGGGTTGAAGCAATACAAATTGATTCTCTGACAGTTCTGGAGGTCGGAAGGGGAAAATCACGTTCTCTGAGCTAACAGGGAGGTGTCGGTAGGGCTGCCTCCTGGAGGCTCTGAGGGGGTAATCCATTGCTGCTCTCGCTACACCTCTCACTGCCCCCCTTAGAAGAACCCTGGCAATTATATCGGACCCACCCAAATACTCCAGGATAATCTCTCCATGGCAGGATCCTGGACTTAATTATATCTTCAAAGTCTCTTTTGCCATATAAGGTGATATATGCAAGGGTCCTGGGGTTGAAGGGGTGGACATCTTTGGGGCCATTGTCCTGCAGTCTATAGCAGCATGCCCCCTTTCTCTAGTGGGTTTCTTTGGCCTCTCCTGTTAAGGCTGGGCTGGCCTGATAGTGGGGAGGTGTTTGGGGAGGGCAGCCGAGCTGTGCCCAGCTCGTGGCCTGTGGTGGCAGCCAGGTCTCAGCTGCCTCCCCGGGGCTACCTGATGTGTCACCTGGTGCCCTAGTGCCACATCACTGTCCCCAAGGTGTTTGCCAACCACCCTCCCTCACCCTGCTTCTTCTCCTTTGCAGCATCGTGTTAGTGCCGGGAGGCGACCGCGTCAGCAAGCTGAGAGGGAAACTGAGGCAAGATGTCGGGCCGGAGCGGGAAGAAGAAAATGTCCAAGCTGTCCCGTTCAGCCAGGGCCGGTGTCATCTTCCCCGTGGGGAGGCTGATGCGTTACCTGAAGAAAGGGACGTTCAAGTACCGGATCAGCGTGGGCGCTCCCGTCTACATGGCAGCCGTCATCGAGTACCTGGCAGGTAATGTGAACACGCGGGCAGGTCACCCCTCCCAGATCCACACCCTCCCCTCTGCCCCCGCCGCCCAGGGACAAGGAGAATCGCTTCCATCTGCGGATGGCTCAAGGGCACGGGGGGGTGGTGACAGGGCTTCAGCCTGCCTGCTTGGCCAAGATGCCTTTTGCAGGCTTTAGGGGAGGGAAGAGGGCGTGACGGCAGATGATCAGCGTGGAAGGAAGAGACCCACAATGAAGTGGCTTTTCTAGACCAGCCCTCAAAACGGTGTGTCTTGCTTTAGGCAAACCCAGGAGGTAAAAAGATTCCAGGTTCCCGCAGAAGAGAAACTACAGGGAGGATTAGGGGCGGGATGGGGGGGGGGGGGGAACTATCCATTTTGTAACAGGGGGCCTGCTCTTCACTCCGAGGCTCTCACCGAGCATTGGGTTTCCTGGTGTATTGGAACTAAGGCTCAGTGTCCATGAATACTGTTGACCCAGCATCAGAATAATCTCCAGCTGCTTCCAGGCAGCCCTTCATGTTCAAGCAGTGCTTTCCTTTGTATCCGATGGGCGCACGAGGAATAGTGCTCCATATTGGTTGTTAACAGTATTTTTTTTTATTAGAAGATGAGATTTTTGCTGCGTGTGGTCTTTAGCTATTGGAATAACTTTCTGTTTAGCTTTCTTCTTGTCGTTCTCTCATGTCTTAGTTAGACACCATACTTCAAAATTTCAAGGAGGCTTTTATTTTATATATAAACATATAAAAACTTTTAAAATAAATCTGTAAGAATAAAAATATGTATAAGTAAGTGTGATTAGCTCCTCGAGGGGTCATTTTAGCCACGAGCAACCATGTCTCTGACCTTGCCCGGGGTACCAGGTTTAAATCCCTTGGGAGGCCCCCCTTGTAAAGCAGACCTCCCCAAACTGCCTCTCCAAGCGGCCCAGCCCCTGCAGCCACGGTATGAAAACCCACAGGAGTGTGGCAGGGCTAGACCCAGCTTCTCTCCCCAGGTCCCTTTTCCCCTCCTGCTTCTCCCTCAAGTACAATTTCTTCCTCCTCCTTAGATGCGCAGGCCTGTTCTGCCCTCTCAGTCCCCCATCTGTCGCCAGACGTTAGTGATGAAAGCTCACCTTGGTCTACCAGTGGACACCTTCACCCCTGGAGCTCCCGTCCCTCGGGCAGACCTCGGCATCTTAAGGCTGTCCCTTCTTGTGAAATGAAAGGCTTGTCCCTGGGCTAAAAGATTTTCATGGGCACCTTTTAGGAGGTTGGAGAGAGGGCTGGAGGGCTCCAGGGTCGGTCCAGTTAGGCATGAGAGAGCAGGGTTTTTTCAAAGTGGCAGCCACTCCCCGGATCTTGTTGACAAGGTCCGACATGGGGCCTGAGACTATTTATTTTCGAGAAACAACGACAGAGTATGAGCAGGGGAGGGGCAGAGGGAGAGGGAGACACAGAATCTGAAGCAGGCTCCAGGCTCCGAGCTGTCAACACAGAACCCAGAGCGGGGCTCGAACCCACGAACTTTGAGATCATGATCTCAGCTAAAGTCGGACGCTTAACTGACTGAGCCACCCAGGCGCCTCAAGACTCGACCTTTCCAGGGGCCCCTGTTGATTGTGATGTTGGTCCTGGGACCACTCAGAGGAGCGACGCCCTTGCTAGTGTTGTAGCAGCAGCCTAAAGGCCTGGGGATTGCTTTAAAGTACAGGGTCCTGGCTGCGTCCTCCGGGGCCCCACAAACACACCCTGTGGTCTGATCCACTGGGTCTGGAATGGGATCCAGGAATCTGGTGGGAAAATCCCTCCCTCAGGAAGGGAAAGGTGATTGAAGTTTTAAAACTCCGTGTTAGGCCCCCATCACCTGGCGAGGCTGGGACACATTGAGTAGCTAGAGACCCCACAGCCTCCAAGCAGGGAGCTGGGGTTCCCTGAGGTCCTTCAACCCTAAGCCACCTACTTTCTGCTCTACTACGCTGCCCCCAAAGTAGAACATCACCTTATTTCTCAAGTTGATTACTCATAATCCTCCATTCGCCCAGCAAACTTTTATTGAGCACTGACCACATGCCAGGAGCTCTCCGTGCTGAGGCTGCTGCAGTGGAGACTAAGACAGAATCGAGGCGTCAGTCCCTGCCCTCGAGCAGGTGCGTTCTGGGAAAGAGAAACAGCAAACAAATATGAGTGAAGGGTGTGTGATTCTGCGATGGTGATAAGTGCCAGGGGACAGATACAGCCAGGAAGGAGAGAGAGTGTCCCGGACGGGGAGGTGAGGGGGGTTGTGAATAGTGCTGGTCAGGAGGGCCCACTGAGGGGGAAGCAGGGAGCGGGCAGGCGCGTGTCTGCGGGCTGGTGCTGCAGGAGGGGGAGGGCAGGAGCTGGTGTTGGAGGGGTAGCAGTCGGCCAGGGGCTTGGGACCCCGGGAGGGGCTAGGACTGTAAGGGAGGCTTGAGAAGTGAGGCTGGTGGGAGCTAAGAGCTTGCAGCGGGCGTTCTGAGGGGCTTTGAGCAGGGGCGGAAGGGATCTGACCCCGTGGGGAGGCGCTACCAGGGCGGAAGCAGGGAAAGAGCAAGAAGGCCCTTCCGGGCTCACGTCCTCGGTGGAGGTACCGAGCCGCGGTCAGAGGCCCCAGACGTCTTGAAGGCAAAGCCAACAGGGTTTGCCAGGGGACTGGACATGAGATAGAAGAGGGGATGACCGGGGCGCCTGGGTAGCTCAGTCGATTAAGCGTCCGACTCTTGGTTTCGGCTCAGGTCAAGATCTCACGGGTTCGTGAGTTCAAGCCCCGCACTGGGTTCGTGCTGACGGTCGCTTAGGATCCTCTCTTTCTGCCCCTCCCTCTCTCTTTCTTCCTAAAAATAAATAAGTAAGTAAATAAATAAACTTTTAAAAAGAAGAAGAGAGGATGAGTACCTGGAAGGAGGCCATTGGCAATAACACTCCTTCCCCCCGGGGCCCTGTCTCAGCACCCAGCTGGGTCCCGGGTCAAGGGGAGGAGGTGAAGTTGGTCCCCTGAAGCCCAGGCCTGTGTTTTCTGGGTCCTTTCCTTCTCTCCCTGTCAGTTTAAATCTGGTTTATCAGTTTACCAGCTCTGTTACCTTGGGCTAATTCCTGAACCTCTCTGAGTTTCCAATGCTTCAAAAGCTAATTCATTTAACTCCATTAATGAGCTAACGGATGTATAATGCCTGGTTTATAGGATACACTCAGTAAATGGTAATTCTTCTGCTCTCCCTTCTGTTAAGAGCTGATGAAACATTCAGGGCAAAAAGTATGATGGCTAACTCTGTTAAAGCGTTATATTTTCCAGCTGTACTTGCATGTTATTGAGACGCGAAGTTTTAAGCCAAAGGAATGAATCACTATTGGTAGAATTGCAGGAAATTGGTGAGAAAGTAAAAGGGCGGTTTTTGTTACTTTGGGGGTGGGAGGTGGACATCAGTTGATTTTGTTTAGGAAAAAAGGTTCAAAGCTGAGAGCCTCCTGTCGCCCTTGAAATGACCTTCAGCATTCATGACACAAATCTTGACTGAGTTTCTTCCGTGGGTCAGGCCTTGAAGATGCAGATGAAAGAAAGCAGACCCACATGGTCCCGCCTCCGAAGGCTGGACTTGCATACCAGCAGAGCGGACAAGCAATCAGCGTTAAGCACAACACAGTAAGATGGGAAGCACGTTTGGCAGGGAACTTACAGGATCCTGGGGAGCATGTGTACAAGTGGGGTTCAGGGGGCTGCCTCTTGTAGAGTAAGAGTTGTTAGGACCTAAACCAGGTTCACACCCCTGGTTTTTCTTAAATTGACTTAAAATCCTAATGACTGGGTTCACCCCCAGAGATTCTGGGGGTACATTCTGGGCATCAGGATTTTTTTAAATTTTTAAATGTTTATTTCTTTATTTTGAGAGAGAGAGAGAGAGTACGTGTGTGTGTGCACACGCGCAACCAGGGGAGGAACAGAGGGAGAGAGGGAATCCCTAGCTGTCAGCACAGAGTCTGATGCAGGGCTCAAACCCACAAACAGTGAGATCATGACCTGAGCCGCAATCAAGAGTTGGATGCTTAATAGACTGAGCCACACAGGCACCCCTCCCTCAAATGGTTTTGATGTGAGCCAGAGTGGGGAATTAGTAGGAATTAAGAAGATTCTGGTGAGGAGATTGAGCCGGGGGAGATTTTCAGGTGGGGTAGGAACGAGGGTGAAGACCCGGAGAGTGTGGCCCCAAAACAGAACCTGGAGGAAGTTCGTACCCAGAACAGCGCTAGGAAAGGGAAGGGGTGAGAGAGGAGACGGGGAATGGGCCGGCAGGTCCTTGAGCGCCATGATGAAAATGTGTACGCTGCGCGCACACATGCACACACACATTAGGGTGAGGCCTAGAAGGGAGGAGGTGGCACTTTGGGGACATCACTTGGGCTTTAGGTGAACGGTGGGCAGGAAGCAAGATCAGAGTCCAGGAAACCTTTGGGGGTGGGATTTGTGTCACTTCTGAGATTTGACAGTGGCCAGGACAGGGGTGTGCAGAGGGCATGATGAGAAGGAATGGACAAATTGGGGAGATATCTGCGGGGGGGTGGGGTAGAGTCAGTTCGACTCATTGATGGCTTAGATGGGGGAAAGGTGTCAAGGAGGGCACAAATCTTTCAGCCTTGGGCGGCTACTTTCTTTCAAGCCAAGCTGCCATGGGTTGAGGAGTGGATGTGGGGACTCCACTCTAAGGGAGACCTGGAGAATTTCGCAAGGAGCCTGGCCAAGAGGAAGAGAGGGGGAATGTCGCTGGCGCACAGTAATGGTGCCTGTAACGGAACAGGTACAGCCGGGGAGAAACAGTGCAGGGCTCGGGGCTCAGGGGGGACCCGCAAGGGCTCGGGTCTCTGCAAGGTGTCCTGGAAGACAGATTCTGGCTCTGCCACCTATCAGCTAAGGACTGTGAGGGTGTCGCTTTACCCACATAGTGTCGTGGTGAGAATTGCATAAGATAATGCATGAAAGGCACTTAGCACTGCGTGGGCCACGAGGT